AGTCCGACACTAAACTGAACAAACATCATGGATCCAAAACCCACCCAAGAATGTAAACAAGGTTGTAATTCACAATCAGCTTTTATTATTCTGCACGTGCATGGACCTCACATTCATTATTCAGTGGCCAATTAAGTGTTCCTGCAGATGTTCTGGTATTGAAGCCATGTAATCTCAGAACGCTGACTTGGAAACCTACAGGTTTAAGGGGCCAATTCTTCACAATGAACGTACACTACAAGTCCACTGGAGCACTAATTATATTTTCAAATCCTTACTCCACAGATGTTTTCTTCTAAGGCTGAGATTATCAAACTTTTCCTCATCCTCACCCTGTTGTCCATTGAACCAGTCTAGCTGCTCCTCTCTGCATTGACTCCAATGTGTCTCACAGTGTGATGACTGGAAGAGAAGACAGTTTGAGTGTGGTCTGCCTGATATACTGCAATATTCCAGTATCATCTCTGGATACCACCACTGTTCTGGGTATATGTGACAGAAGTCTGTTTTTAGTTGTACTGTCTCATTGTCTAATATTGAAATTAGTATTTCCAATATTATTTTTAGGTCCTTTCTTTCTCTCTGCAAATTCAAATCAACTAAAGTCTTAACACCTCATACTTAACACACATCTTAAAGCACAAATTTTAGGACTGCAAAATGAGCCAGCCTAAGGGAATTCTACATTGTTGGAGGTGTAGTAGAGTTAAACATTACACCAAGGCCCTATCAATGATCAGGTGTCACTACTTGGAGAGAGACAGTTGTCTTGGCAAACGATGTTTCTTATTACTCAAAACAAAATAAATTAACCTAAATTGTTTTTAAAAAAGTACTTTTGCTTTGCACTTTTTAATCACAGATGGAAGAATACTAAATTTCAAGAGAATCCAACCATTTATACTGCATAACAACAAGTTGCAATTGGCTAACAAGTAGATTTGATTCGTTCAAGGTTTGTCTTGGAATGTGCACCAGGGAACAGTTACTCTGAACATTTTGTTTAAATTAAAAGAAAAAGTAAATCTTCTCCAATTTGTTAAAATGTGTAATGGGGAATATTCCAGGGAACAATGTCCCTTTTAGCCTTTAACTGGAAAAGCACACAGCATGGACAAATGCAGTTGGCCTGCAGAGAACCAGGCACTGCATATGCACATGATTAAAGTGTTATCTGCATTTCAGTACTGTGAGATGTCAGGCATCTAGGCTGTACAATTGGTCAACACATGCTATGACAACTTCCCCTTGGGAGCAGTGAACCCCGAGCTTCTGTTTAACTGAAAAGATGCTAAAAAAACTATACGTAAACAGCTTCGGTAGCTTTGCTTTTCCCTGCATCATGGCAATTCTTTGAGCAAAGTCTCTTTGTTAACCGATCAGCATCCTGTCTCTCTCAACATAAATTGTTTCTCCTTTTCGAATTTGTACTGTCAACTGACTGGTGAATCAGCTCATTTACTGTCGAAACTTCTGGTGCAAAAAAAAAAACCACTTGCCACATCTGTTTTTGAATACAAAGGACTTTGAGACAGCAGTGGTTATGAAAAGATTACACACGACGACATAGGACAGAGAGCACAAGATCAGGCCATTTGGCCTAATAACTTCAAAGGAGTCTTCACCCATCCTTTCTCATTTTATTTTGTATTTTTTCATGGGATACGGGCCTGACTGGCAAGGCCTGCTTGTTGCCTATCCCTAACTGCCCTTGAGAAATTGCGTTGAACCACATCCTTGAACTACCACAGTCAATCTGCTGTTGTTAAGAAAATGCCAGGGTTTTGACTCAGCTACAGTAAAGAAATGGAGATAAAGTTCCAAGTCAGGCTGGCGTATAGCTAGGAGAGAAACTTGTATATGATGGCATTTCAATGTATCAGCTGCCCTTGCCCTTATGGGTGTTAGAGGTTGTGGGTTGGAAAGTACAGTCCGTGCAGTCTTGAGTTATAAATTCACAATGGCCACTATTTATTCGTGGTGAATGCTTCAGTTGTGGAAGGGGGCTGGCCAAGCTGCTTTTTCCTGGGTGATGTTGAGTTTCTTGAGTGTTGTTGGACCTATATTCATGCAGGCAAGCGAAAATATTCCATTCCACCCCTCATTTGTGCATTGGAAATGGTGGATAGACATTTGCCTCAACAGGGCGGAGTTGTCATAATTAATTGATCATGGTTACGACAAGGAAGGTGGTGCAAAGTCACTGAAAACTATGGAACGACATAAATAATAGTATAATTAACATACATAAATTATTTGGTGGAATATTTACACATTTCCATCCAATCTGTTTAGAGATATTGTTGCACACCTCTAGAGCAAGCGGAATTTGTACAATGCTGGATTCAATGTGATATGCCACAGAACGTCATTCGTAGAAATTCTCTGCCAATGAAACTATGAGGAATGGCTTAGGGAAATAGTTAACTCAAGCTTCCGATAGTTTAATAAACAATATAAGCACATATTTAGATGGGGAAAAGACACTGCTTGACATATCCCCCTGACACTTTTGAACGCATCATTACGAAAATAGATAGCGAAAGTCCCAATATTTGGTTTATCACATGTTTCAAAATGTTAAAGACAACAACTGACAAAAAAGGACAATTTAAATTAAACTGATGGGAATAAGACAAGCCTGTACAAAATAATGCAGAGACCCAACTGTCCTCAGCAAAGACACAGCAGAAGTCAAAGAGATGCAGAGAAGATCTGAAGGATTGAATTTTGGGTCTTTAGCTCTCATCTACATAAATGACCTGATTGTAGAAACCAATTACAAGTTTGTTGCATTCACAGATAGAATGAATGAGAAATAGGACCCATTAGCTTCCAACACATTTACACTTGATGTTCATCTGTCATCTGAGTGTAAACCAATTACATGTCATAAAAGATACCTGAATTTTGTGTTCAATGGATTAACATGTCACTGTATTATGTTAAGTCAATCACATGTCTGCCTTCAAACCTTCCTTTCAAATTAATTTCCTCCTACAAAATACAACTGGATTCTGATGTACAAAAGGTTTCCCCACTTGGGGCATCTCTTAAATTTGCAGGATACAATAAGTTATTTTTCTGGTCTATTACAAAATTAATTTCTTAGAGAAGGATGACAATGGTCATCTACGCCATGCTCTTAATGGCAGCAAGGGAGGAAACAGCAGAGGTTCATTTTTAATCCTCTCTTGCTTCAGATGTGATATCAAAACACTGCTAATGTTTTTAAAAATTTGAGGGGCAGTAATCATCAGCACTTAGGAAAGCAATCACCATAACTTGAGGAAAAATCACATCTGACTAACTTGATTGAACTTTTGAGGGATTTAATAAGGAAAGTCAGTGAGGGTGGCACATTTAAAAGGAATCAATTTGGATTTTGTCTAAGCTTTTCTACCAAATTATCTTGAAAAGTTAAAACTGGATCCAAGGGCAAGTAAAAACAATGTGTTCCAAAATTACTTTGGTGGCGAAAAGCAAGGCAATAGTTTCCAGTAGGGTACCTCAGAAGTCAAGTATATCTCAGTGATTATATTGGGGGCTGGTTTAAGATGGTTTGCACATAACATAAAAGATGAATTTGTTGTTGTTATCTTCTGCGGTCAAGCAATGTGCTGTTTCTATGGGCAGAGATCTGGGAAATGGAAAGCAATCTGAAGAAATGGAAGGGAATGGGTATCTTGGGAATAACAGACAATGGAATATAAAACAACTGGTGGGACAGTAAGATGTTTAAGAGTGCATGACCACAGATCTCTGCAGGTGATTACATGGCATATTGGATAAATTTCTTTGTGAGCTAAGACAGAGTATAACAGCAGAGACTTTTATACCAGAAGTTTAAAACACTAGGTAGTCTACAGCTTAATTTTTGTTTATTCATTAACGGGAGAGGACATCATTGGCTAGGCAGCATTTATTGTCCATCCCCGATTATCAAAGGGCAGTTCAGAGTCAACCGCATTGCTGTGGGTCTGGAGTCACATGTAGGCCAGACCAGGCATGGATAGCAGTTTCCTTCCCTAAAAGGACATTAGTGAACCAGGTGGGTTTTTCTGACAATCGGCAATTAATTCATGGTCATCACTAGATTCTTAATTCCAGATATTTTATTGAATTCAAATTCCACCGTCTGCCAAGGCAGGATTCGAACCTGGGTTCCCAGAATGTTATCGGTGTCTCTGTATTAACAGTCCAGCAATACCACTAGGCCATTGCCTCCCCCTGTGTACTACATACAGTTCTGCTCAACGTAATGCCGGGAAGAATGTGATTGCACTGGAGAAGGTAAAGAGATTGACAAGAATATTGCCAGGAATGAAGAATTTTTACTAAAGGGGCATGATTAAATAAATTAAAGTAATTTCGAACAGACGAGGTAGAGAGAAAATTTGAGGCACATTAAATTATAAGGAACCAAGAAAGGGTAGATGTGAAAGACCCATTTCGTTCAGCAGAGTGATCAGTAACCAGGGATCATAGAATACTTTATAAAAGGATTAGAGGATAGTCGAGGAGAGATGTTTTCACTGAGAGATGGGGATCTAGTACTTACTGCCTGAAAGTGAGCTATAAACCAAGAACTGGAAGGTGAGATAAGGCTGGATAATTTTTTTTTCAACATTCACAGACACACAGTGACCTAAATGGCTACTTTCAGTACTGTAAGTTTCTATGATTCAATTGTTCAAAACATTAAATAGTAAGTAGTTCCACATCCAATTTTGGTGCTAAACAACAAGAAGTACATTACAAAAATCAACAACTTCTCACACAACCAATTGACTACGTGGTTCAGCTTATTGCAATGCAATCTTCACTGCATTTAAAAGTTTTGTAATACAATTCCAGGATATCATTGCTGGTATCAACTCCTCCACTGAATTAAATTTAAGTGTGAATGTTCAGCTGCTTAACAAGTACATCCACAAACAAGGGAGAGCAAAAAATGACTCGATCATTAACTGACCTTATTTCGGTAACTGGCAACTTACCAATCTTGGCTGTTAATGGCATCGCCATATCCTGGTGTGTCCACAACTGTCAGACGAAGTTTCACACCCCTCTCCTCAATTTCCACTGTCGAAGCTTCAATTTGGACTGTTCTTTCAATCTTTTCTATGAAAATAATAGTTCAGACTAAATTCATCAGTTTGGACATAATCCATTCCAAGTTTACTCAAAATAGCTAATGATATCAATACGTAACTCCCAAAGTCAACAGATTCTGGAAACCACACCAGCAAAGACTTTAAACAAAAAGTTTGATTTATAATTTTAATATGTAAATATACCTTGAAATACATTAAAAAATTATATATAGTCATCTATTTTAGCAATGAATTGCCCCGTAATTCTTTCACTTTTGAAACTTTTTTTTTTAAAAAACATTTATCACCTATAAATAGACCTTCTTGGTCTATTTATAGCTGGTTGAACTATAGGTGGGATTTATCTGTTCTTAAATACTTATGGCTTATTTCCTTTTCAATTCTGAAGGAAAAAAGATATAGCCACAAGCAGCAGTTTTCAGGGTCCTGATACATTTTTGGTGACAGCCAGAAATATGATCACTTTAGGAAAGTCAGTATACCATGATCCTATTTTGTTACACTGATCCCTATATTGTATATCAGACTCTGTCCAAATCCTCAAATCATTTGGTGGGGCAGCCTGGTACACATGCATTGTGGAAAGGAAGAAATGAGTGGGAAAAAAATGGTCTCTCTCCTGCCAAGTGTCGGCTCTGTGGTTAACATGAGATTACAAAAGAGAGGTGCCATTATGACTCATGCAACCTACAAATTACCATGGGCCTCATGAATGTAAACATGTTCCTTTCAACCCTATATCCCTCAAAACTTGCAACTTGCAAAACATTCATATAACCAGTCAGGGTGTGGTGAAAGGAATCAGGGGCCATAACAAGCCAAATTCAAGGCAATGCATTATCTGAATCATCACATCAATCTGTGCACATGTAGATCACACGACTCTGCAGAATATGTTATTCCCACCTGACTCCATGTTTGTTGTTTATTATATGTTCAACATTTATTTTATTTTTTGGGGAGGGAGTTAAGTTTAAAAAATATGGCAAAAGGCTCCAACATAAATGTTTAGTTAACTTGACACTAGCTCACAATGCCTTTGCTGCAGGAAATTATCAAATTATCTGAGAAAAACAATGATATTTTGAAAAGATCACATTAATTCCAAACACATGGAGAAGTTTTGATAACCAGTACTATAGTTATCACATTACACTCAGCAACAGGATTTCAGTGTGACAGACAGCTCATCAGCCTTGACCTGTAAATCCAAACAAGGCTGAAACACATTATGCAAACCACAAACAGCAGTTCCAAATGCACTGCAGTTGTAAACCTCTCCCCACAGCAAAATTATTCTATCTTTTCACTTCTCCTTCATGGATGGAGAAAATGTGTTTCCGGCATGCAGGCTTAATTTCACCTGTAGCCCTCCAGTGTCAAACATCAATTCTGTCAATGTGAACCTAGACTGCATGTGCAGGTTGGTTATTTAAGTATGGACTGTCATGCAACTCTTATCAAATATCCATACACAAACACATTCCAGGATGGATCATCTAGATATCTATAAGGGGCACAAACCACACACAATCTTTCCCTCCCTATTTCAGGAGGTCCAACTAAAACATCTGAACTTCTGTTCCAATTTACACTAACTCAACAGAAACCAGCGATTAAATCTTAACACTTTATGCTGCATATGGATATGAAAATTATTGTTATTGTGATACCATACGCATGCTCCTGAGAGTTATAATTTGATGAATCTCTCCAATAACTGACTCACCTGCAGCCCCAGGTACATAGCGCTCAGGGTAGAGGTCAGTAAGGAACAGGCTGTTAATTAATGTCGACTTTCCAAGACCAGACTCCCCTGAGAAAATAAATGTGGTAAAATAATAGCGATGAAATGCAAGGGAAGTGAAATCATACACAAGCTAAAAATACGAAGAAGGAGGCATTTAATTAAAAAAGAAAAGAAATGAGCAGAAAGGAACAATCGGTACTGTTCAATTTATTTTCCAGAATGTCAGAAATGGTATTCTGGTAACTTAAAAAGATTTTATCCCAGATGAAGATCTCCTCCATTACACTGCAGATACTGAGCTAGAACAATCTGACTAATGTAAATCTTTCAAATTACAACGGTTCAAGTATACATGGCTAACCGAATACAATTTTCTCAGTTTGCTCTCAGCCAGAGTTAAAAGCAAGTCACAGACACTTTGTAGCAGTCCAAACAGTACTTCAAAGTCAGGATCACTTTTGCTGTCTTACACAGAACCTGATATTAGCTAAAAAGATCACTAATAAATCATATTTTTCAACTACTACTAAAATGTGCATGGCATTAAACACAGCCTTTGAACGTTCTCTTTTCATAAATGCAAGATAGCTAACCAGGAAGAGACCTCTCAAACTCACACCACACAGCCACAGATTTGCAACTAGAATGAAACCACAGTCAACATAAAATTGTTGATAACAATGTTGATATAACAATTTACAGAGATAAAGTATGTGTTAAAATCTCAACAAGGTAAATTAAAATTTGCAGATAGAACAGGAGTTTCATGCCCAACTGTCAATTATTGCCTGGATTTTGCAGTTAGCGTCAAGACAATGATGCTCACTGCTGACAAGCAAAGCTACCAAAGATTTTTAGTGAAGTCCAGGGCATCGAATTTCTTTTTTCCATGTGAGTTTCAATTTAATTGCCTTTGTCACCTAACACCACAACAGAAAGCAGACATGTTGCCCAACTCCACGGACTGATTGGCAATCAGACTGAGGTACTCTCAGAAACAGCAAAGCAGAAAGTTTTGATTTATTCTTTACGGTGATGCTGGTGTTATTAGCAAGGCCAGCATTCATTACCTATCCCTAAACGCCTTTGAAAAGCTTTTGGTGTGCCGTGTTTTTTAACTGCTACAATCAAATTAAATATAAGGAATACAAATTCACAGTTAAATCACTACTGAACATGAACTAAATTATAGCACACATATGGAAGTAATTTCTTAGGAAATTGTAGTTTTTACACATTCTCTAAAAGAATAAAAAGTCATTAAAATTAATTTGTCAGGGCCAGAGCTTGTTCAACAGTAATTATGGCATTAATGCCCAATTAAAACTTCATAAGTTCTTGGTTGAACAAGGTTTAAACTTTCATCAACACAAAAATGAGTGACAAGTAGAAGTTCAGAACAAATTAGTGATTAATAATTATTCTATTCGATAGCAACAATTTGCACATTGAAAGAGCAGTGTAGTAGTGACTGCAGCATTCAGCTGGGCATGTGCAGATGCCAGCAGTTGCTACCAGACTTGCATAGGAGTAATGCCAAGTGCTAATAGACTATATATGTAATACACATTTCAATGTACTATGTAGACGTGTCACAGCCTCACCAATCTATCATGTAAAGACTGTATGTTTGATTGTGGACTGAAGTGGGAAAAGAACTGTTTTAAAAATCAAGGATTGCTACAATTTTAAAAAGCAAGTAACCTAATACCCATTGTAAGCGCTGTTTGCATGGCTGCTATTCAAGGAATAGTGGAAGCTTCGTTTGCTGAAGCCAAAGGGTGGATATAAATAAAGCTTCGGTCAGTAACAAGCACTGATTGATGACAGGTCACACTACTTCAGAGCAATGACCAAGGCCTTCAGCCTGCATGCAATTATGGGGTTATTTTCTAATCAAGCCATTCAGGGATGCTATTACACACCGCTGGAGCAGGTGGAATTTCAACCCAGACTTCTTGGCTCAGAGGTAGAATAACTACGACTGCACAAGAGACTTGTAAACAATTATGTAATTGGTCCCAGACAGAGAACAGTTTGACAGTGTGAATATTTGGCAGAAGCCATCAGATCTCCACGAGGTTAGGACCAGACTCTTGTCTCTGCAGTTGCTGTAAGCTACGGCTCTTAACTACTAAGCTAGAACTTTATAAGTGTGAACCAACCAACCTGTACCTCCTGCAAATAAAGGAGAGGAGGGGGAGACGGGGAGGAGGGTCACACAAAAGCACATCCTGGGGAGCCAAGAGGATCAAAGGAACCCTGTGAGCAGAGACCATCAGCTGGGAAGGCAGTTCAATCTCCACTCTTAACAAGGTGTAGAGCTGGATGAACACAGCAGGCCAAGCAGCATCAGAGGAGCAGGAAGGCTGACGTTTCGGGCCTAGCACTCTTAACATGCAATTTTTGTTTTGCCTGTCTGTGTCTGCGTGTGTGTAAGGGGAAATTTAGAACAGAGTTGGAGTTTTAATCAGTTTTTTTTAAATTGATGGTTCATAATTGTTTATCTCCAGTTAGAATCTGTTAATTTATAATAATTAGTAACCCTTAAGTACAGAAGCCTGAGCCACGCTGTCAACCTGAGTTGAAAATACAAGTAAATTGGGGGATTCTGCATACTTTTTAAAACAAATTTAACATTTGTGATGATTTGCAGTACACTACCCAGTGAGGCGTAACAATAACAATTTTATTTTCATTCTAGTTCAACATGCAAAATGAAACAAATAAAATGATTTCTTACTACAGTATAAAAATACTGCTTTCAATGCAACTTATACATTCATATAAAAATTGATTTCAGTTTTAAACTCATACACTCTTAAGGTCACCACTTCAAGCGATCTCCATTCAAGACAACATTGAAACCACTGCCTGGTTTGTTGCTGTGGGAAGTACAACAACAAAAATAAAAAGTGCATTTTTAGATGTCAAGCATTTGAGAGTTAATAGGCATAGTCATTATTTCAAACAGTACTCAGCAACGATAATTAAATAGACTGTACAATGATGTCCATACTTATATCCTCAACAGGCAATGTAACATACCAACTACCATCAGCGTGAATTCAAATCCTTTCTTCACTGATTTTCGATGGACCTGATTGGGGAGGTTTGCAAATCCCACGTACCCAGTAACATCTGGAAACTGTAGAAACAGAAGAATTTCAATCTTCAATTATCTAGGCAAACTGGAATAGAATCACAGCAAATTGTACAGCAGCACAAGAAATTTTCCTTTCCGTCTCTTCAGAGTCTAAGTCTGCCTCTTCTTTCGCCTCTCATCTTGAAACAACCCAATGCATTCACTTCCTATTTCCCAACTTAGAGAGCTAGATTCCAAACACACTACAAATATCCACTGCCCACCGTAACATTCCAACCCGACTGTACAGAAGCCAATGGAAGCTTTTCATTGATCATTAAACTGGTTGCATAAAACGTTGCAGAAGTTTATCATTGATGGTATTCCTCGAGTATACTTTAGGCCGGTGGCTACGGCATCTTGACTCCACCAGCAATACTCAAAGGAGCTTTGATTTTGTAGTCCCTCATTATGCCATTTTGACCTTAGTTATTGCAGACTGATGCCAGTTTTACTAACAATGATAAAGTGCCTCCAATAGCAAACACCAATCAATACAACTCTACTGTCCAACTACAAACAAACGAAAAAAAATGCTGGGGAAACTCAGTAGATCTGGCAGCATCAGGGGACAGAGAAAGAGTGTTAAAATTTTGAGACAGATATCACTCTTCAGTTCAAATTCTGTTTTAGTTTTTCAGCTTGTTCATCTTTGTTGTTTTCTATTTACTTCCTAATATTTGGTAAGGTATATCGCCAAAACCAGCTTTCACAGCCACAACACTTTCACTTGGCCCATTAAACTCATTCCTCGGCTTTCTCACCTTCTGTTTCCATTTTTGGGGATAGGCTGTCCACTTCTAACATCCATTACAAGCCCACCAACTTCCACAAATTACCTCAACTACACCTCCTTACATCCTACTTCTTGCAAGCATTCTATTCCACTCCACTCTCCCAGTTTCTCAGCCTCTGTTGCAACTATTCCAATTATGGCACCTTCCACCAAGGTGCCTCTGGCATGATGTTCTTTTTCCTCAACTGAGGATTCCACCCCACCACCTGACTTCAGTGAACAGCACACTTAGTAGTGTTCGGCCTAGTTCCCACATTTCTGCCCTCACCCCTAACCCCTTCCCAGAACAACATGGTTTCTCTTGTCCTCATTTTCCCCCTTGGGGCCTTCACATTCAAAGAATCGTCCTCTGGTATTTCTGCACCAGCCCACCACCGGCAGCAGGATGCCACCAGCAAACACATCTTCTCTCTACTGTGAGCATTCAGCAGAAACCATTCACTCCACAACACGCTGTTTCAATCCTGTATCGCCCCCAACATGTCTTCACTCTCCCACAGCACCTTCCTATGAAATCACAAAGTGCAGTACTTGCCTATTCACCTCCTCACTGTCCAAGGCTCCAACCATAGTTTCCCGGTGAACCAATGTCTTACCTATATTTCATTCAATCTAGACTACTATACCTGCTGCTCACAATGAGGTCTCATTTACACTGGCAAGACTAAACACAGACTAGGTGACCATTCTTTGAACACCTCTGCTCGGTCCATAGGAATGACTCCAACCTTCCAGTTGCTCTCATGCTATTTGTCTTGGGTCTACTGCAATGTTCCAATGAAGCACAACACAAGTTCGAAGAACACCACCTCATTTTCTGCTACAGTATTTTACAGCATCTGGCACTCAATACTGAATTCCAAAACTTCAGAAAGATTCTGAAGGTGGTCATATTGGATTCACAAAAAAATTAACTCTTTCCCTCTTTATAGATGCTGCCAGACCTGTTGAGTTTCTCCAATATTTTCTGTGATTTTTATAGATTTAAAGCATCTGCAGTATTTTGCTTGTATACCATTGTCCTACTACTTTCTCAGGAGGGCCATCAGACCTTGCCTTAACATGTTTCAACAGCCCCAGAACATGATCGTTGTGTTGTGTATCTTGTCTCAAAATGGTAAGCATCAAATAGCTTCTTCACAGGTTCCTTCTATACTTAGTTTGAAGCAGATTCAGACCAAGTTGTTACTTCAAGCAGCTTGATTTCTAGGTACCAACACAAACCTTTGTCAATTAATAAAGGAAGGCTCTCCACCAACAATAACAATTCTAATATACACATATAATGTACTGATTCTGTGACCATCTTTGATAATTTTCTTTCGTCTGAAAGTATGTTGATAATTCTGCTGAAGAGATCGAAACCTATTGTTTGAACTCCTTTGAGAATCTCACTTTCAGGGGTACTTGTGTGTAAGTTGCCAACTGCTTAGCTGTAGAACAGGAGCTTAACAAGTACTTCGACAAAGTGATTCCTGGTTTATTTACCTACAAAAATGGTTTCCTTTCCATGTGAGCATATGCTATGATTCCCATCATTGAGAGTTTTAGGAAATAAATCAAAAACTGCAGAAAAACAATGATTCTGCAATCACTAAAACCTCCTTCATCTGAAACTCAACAAAAGGTTTGTTTAAGCATATTGCACCTTAAATACATCCTCTGGGACTCACATTTAATATAGAGTCACATTCACAAATCCTCTGCCATTCCAAAATATCTTTGCAACCATGCATTTAGCCTCCAATTTCCAAAACAACAAAGGACCACATGACTACATGCAAGCATTACGTTCACTTCATGCTAGTGTTACACACACTGTGCTGATGAGACTTGACTTAGCTTCCAGAAACACTGTATGTCTTTAAGGTTGACAAGATATTTCTCTACATTAATTCCAACTTCTCAACAACAGTGATATTCATTTACGTGGATCAAAAGTATAGAAGAAAAACAGTCAGAATATTTAACACAATCTTGTTTGACTATAACAAGGTCAGTCCACTTTTGGTTGCTGTGCTGCAGCACTCCACATTCCCTCAGTGATAAAACAGAACAAGCAGTCAGCATCATAATGAGCACCACAATGAATAGGAGATGCCTTAGCAACAGCTAAACCAATTCCCAGCACAAGAAAACGAGGGTGGGCGGCACGGTGGCACAGTGGTTAGCACTGCTGCCTCACAGCCGCAGGGACCCGGGTTCGCTTCCAGCCTCGGGCGACTGTCTGTGTGGAACTTGCACGTCCTCCCCATGTCTGTGTGGGTTTCCTCCGGGTGCTCCGGTTTCCTCCCACAGTCCAAAGATGTGCAGGCTAGGTGGATTGGCCATGTTAAATTGCCTGTAGTGTTCAGGGATGTGTAGATTAGTTGGGTTATAGGGGGATGGGTCCGGGTGGGATGCTCTGAGGTTCGGTATGGACTTGTTGGGCTGAAGGGCCTGTTTCCACACTGTAGGGATTCTAAGATTCTATGAAAACAGACATTCCATCAAATTAACTATGTCTATGAAAATAACATGCAACTATATGAATAGCCAAACCTCCCCCCCTCATAAAATTAAAGGTTTTTCCCACTTATTCATCGAGATCATAAATCTCAGTTCTAGTAAAAACACACACACTGATGGGGCAACAGCAAATCCAACAATTTAGCCAGGGAAAACATTGTTACAGAGATAGAAAGATACAGGGCTTGGACAAAAATCTGAACAAACAGTTGCCCATAATCACTTGTTAGGTCACAACTAGGACAATAAATCAAAACTAGGGAGTAAAAGAAAACTAGAAGTGTCACACAAAAAGAAATGCTGTCTATTGAGCATAAGTGCAATAACCTCTTTCTTCTCCTCTCCCACCCTTAACAGATAGTTATCAGCTCAGAACAAGACAAATTACTCCGCACAAGTCAGTGTCCAGCCATGTAAACATGTACTGCTTCTAAATTTACAAGTTAAAATGAACGTGCACTATACAAACACTGCTTCTATTGACATGATACTTTCTTTCCTCTATTTCAACAACATTGAAAGCAAACAGATGAAATACATAGGAGAAGCACTCTTCTCCGCACTTGCAGACATCCATCTGGCTTGGTCAGGCTGGTTTTCTGCTGAGATCAAATCTAGCAACCAGTTTCAACAATTTTAGTTGATTTTCTTTTGTTTGAAAACTAGTCCAGTGAATTTCTATTTTCTAAGAAGGAATTCCCTGCTATTACCATACGGAACGTACTGCATTTACAGCTCAGTATCTAATATCAAGGTCAAGAAAATTCAGGAATCCAGACACCACTTCAAAAGAAGTGCTTGGACATTTGTTTGTGGGGATTGGTTAGTGTTAGGAAACAAAGTTTTTTAGGTAATGGAAAGAATTAATACTAATCAACATGATACTAGTCACATGTATTTCTGTTTATGGTCATTGCATGTGGCCGAGTAGCAAATCCTTTGAACAAGATGCTCAATTTTGCTACTTTGAAGTTGTATGAATGTTTTTTCTGCTTTTGAGGCGATTGTCCCAATACCTATGAACTTAGTTTTTCACTCTTTTACAATCAATTTACTTTGATCGATTTATTCACTATTTCTGACCATCCAGTACCATAGAAACTAAGGTCGAGCACTAGATAATGATGGCTAATGGAAAACTTAAATGGTTAATTTTGCATTGAAAAGGATTTCTCCAAAATATATGAGATCCACATATTTAAAGAGATTGTGTTTCTAAAAAATTGTTTTTTGCAATGTATTAAAATACAGCAAAATGTGATGCTTGCTTTAATCTTGCTGTTATCAACCTTACTTCTTAATAAACTAATTTATAATTTTTCATACAAGTCTTAGGAAACATTAGTTTGATCTTATCAATCATAAAATCATATAATTTCAATACATGTCTTGTGAAAGGGATTAGCTATTTACCTTCTGACACAGCTTCACCATTCTACACCACATACACTATAGGCAAAATCAAATAGGAGGGATTCGACAGGCAAGTAGAATGGTGTGTTTTTCATTAGCTTTAGTTACAAGAGAACATCAGAGAACTGAAATGTTCTACACTTTTTCAAAATAAGGGAAAAAAATTAAATCTGGCAAATTACATGTCAGTTAGTTTCTAATAGCGTTACCCGCCACTTCAGCTCTGAAGAAAACTAACTGCCACTTGGACAAGCATGCACTAATAAAAGAGAGCTAGCATGGATTTAAGAGCAAATTGCCTTTGAATTTTGATGAAGTAACAGAGGGTAAAATGTGTGATAACAAGGTGTAGAGCTGGATGAACACAGCAGGCCAAGCAGCATCAGAGGAGCAGGAAAGCTGACATTTCGGGTCGAGACCCTTCTTCAGAAAAAGTAAAATGTGTGCTTAGTTGACATTCCACATATGTTTTCTAAAAGTCCATATCAAATTTATTAGTAGAGTAATTAGTTGCAAAGCAGAGATACAAAACTGACTAAGGGACAGAAAACAGGGGTTGTGGTTTACAATCCCTCTAACCGTTTTCTTCATCTTTTTGGACCTACAAGATCCACACATGGCAGCAACATCTGAAATTGAAGACAATGATGGGTACACTATTGGCATGCTGATCATCCTGCATGGACCTTCAGAGTGGCTGCACAGCCACTCAGCTTTGAAGAAATATTGGTTAGGGTAATTAGGTACTTACAGACTTGGAGGTTTATACAGTCTTCTCCAAGTTTCAGCACTAAACCCACTACTGTTTCTGATCCTCGAGGACTTGGGGGAGCAGTATACAAATTGAGAAATTTGCAATATGCTGCCAAATCTGCTCAGTCTCATCGACACTTTCTGCTTTTATTTCAAATCTCCAGCATCTGCAGTATTTTTCTTTTATTTGACAAATTTGCAAGTGTTACACACATCAAGGAAGATTGTTCCCTTTGAAGTCAAAAACTTAAACTGGCTGAAGCTAAGGGGAGACATATGCTACATGAAATTCAATGCAAGAAAATTTAAGATAATACATATTGGGGAGAAAAACAAGGGGTCACAATGCATGCTAAATGGCACAATTTTAAAAGGAGAAGTAATAATAGATCGCTGGGGGTATTTCTGTTACTAATCTCTGAAGGTGGCAGGATATGTTACGGTGCCAATTATTAAAGAACATGGGATCCTGGGTTTTATAAATACGGCATATAGTACAAAACTCATGAAGCTATGTCATTCAACTCCTGCAGGTTTTGATCTGCATGAACGTCAAGTGCACTTGTTGATATTTTCTCATAAACCTGCACAAAGATGTTATTGCACACTTGGTATTTGAATTCTGCTTCCTGGTTCAGAGATAGGAATACTATTTCTGCACCATAGGGTCCTCAAACAGGGTGAAGAGCACAGTCCACTTCTACATATCTTGGGCTAACTAGAAACTACAACTCCAGCTATGTCCAATTAGATACAGTAAATACATATTGTTTCCAAAAGCTGAAGGGCTAATATCCAGAGATCAGAAAAAGAACCAAAGCAACAAGGGGGAAACCTTTTCCCAAACAATGTGGTCAGGATTTGGATTGAACTGCCTGATAGGGTTGTAGTTACATATTTAAGGCAGAGATAGATGTACAGCATGGAAACTGACCCTTCGGTTCAACTCGTCCATGCTGACCAGATATCCTAAATTAATCTAGTCCTATTTGCCAGCATTTGGCCCATATCCCTCTAACCCCTTCCTATTCATATATTCATATACCATCCAGGTGCCTTTTAAATGTTGTGATTGTACCAGCTTCCACCAGTTCCTCTGATAGCTCATTCCATTTACACACACAACGCTCCGCGTGGAAAAAGTTGCTCCTTAGATCCCTTTTAAATCCTCCCCATCTCACTTTAAAACATGCCCTCTAGTTTTGGGCTTCCCCACTCTGGGGAAAAGACCTCAGCTATTCACCCTATCTATGCCCTTCAGGATTTTATAAACGTCTGCAAGGTCATCCCTCAGCCTCCGACGCTCTAGGCAAAATAGATGCAGCCTATTCAGCCTCTCCCTATAGCTCATACCGTCCAATCCTGGAACCATCCTTTTAAATCTTTTCTGAACCCTTTCAAGTTTCACAACATGCTTCCCATAGCAGGGAAACCAGAATTAAATGCTGTATTCCAAATGTGGTCTAACCTATGTCCTGTACAGCCACAACATGACCTACCAACTCCTATACTTAAAGCGCTAACCAATAAAAGGCAAGCATACCAAACGCCTTGTTCACTATCTTGTTTACTGAGATTAGCTTTCAAAAATGAAAACAATTGACTAAATACTCAAACATAGCAAAATTGCAAAAGGATATAAAGAGAAATTTAAAAAAAATGATTAAATGGATTGAGTCTTGGCTAGCTCTTTTAAACAGCAATGAAGTAGATGGCCTCTTTCTGTATTGTACTATTCCATGATCCAATGTGAAAAAAACATCTTGGTCAAGCTTGGACCATGACATGGTCTTGTACCATGGTCATTAAAGAAAATAGAGCAGGCCGTTTTGGTCAAACATCTAATCGTCCCCATTTCTCGAAGTATCTCTGCTATGGAGAAGAATCACAGCTTTGCCATCAAACATGGCACTTAGTTCTAGTTGGCATCAAGTGTAGTTGTTATATTACTCCACTGTATATGGTTGGGAAATAAATAGAACTGACACAGTCCACTGCAAGAGATAGCAATGATAATACTTAGAGGTTTAAGTATAATATCACCTTATGGAAAGCCAGTCCTCACCTACTTTTGGCCCCAAGTTAACACCTGTGTACAACATACTACCCACATACTTACAACTTCTGAAACTGGTGAATGCTTGACCATGTGCCTTCATTTAATGCTATTAAGTGACAACAAAACACACGAGACAGAAATTTTCCACCAACTTGGAAAAAAAACAAAAACACAAAAATATGATTTTAACTGTTGTTTACCAGAAAAGCTGAACACAATCCACTCATGTTTGATGTACCGTACAAACGTACTTTTTTCTCGAGAATGCTGTTAGAATCGTCCTGGGGGAAACCATAAATCAAGATAACCAAATTTACTTTGTGACCCCCAAAGAAGAAATTAACAACAAGATTTCACTCTTTGTAACTTTCATTTTAACAGGAATTAGAAATAATACAGTCACTCATGAATTAACAGGTAAAAAATACTTCAGATATTTCACTTTGATATTGCAGATTTCAGATATCACTGCACTGTTTCTATCTCTCCACTAATGCATACAGTTAGTACCTGAGGCCCTGGATTGTCCTGAACCCATTTAGCAAGGACTATTTTCATTGAGGGTGAACCAGTTGGTCAATTCCCATGTTTCCCATTCCTTGATCCAACAGACATCAGCTGGGGGATTTTGCTTGGGAAATTTGCTCCATATGTTGTGTCAAGATGGAAGGTGGGAAAATGGAAGAGATGCATTCTGTCTAGCTTCTTTCATGACCTCAGGATGTCTGAAAGCACTTCATAGTCAATGAAATATTTTAAATGCAGATGTTGCTGTAATGTAGCAAAGGCAGCAGCCAGTTTGGGGTTGCATAGACAAAGTAATCATCAGAAACTGATATCATCAATAAGCTCCCTGGTTGTCTTTGAAGTTGTGTCGCTTTTTTGGTGTGGGAGTGGGGGTGGTGCAGGTCGACCTTGGTTTAACATCTCACCCAAAAGATAGCACTTCTGACATGCAACGTCAGCCCATCGATTTTGTCCTCAAGTCATGTGGAGGAAATGGAACACAACAAACTCCTGACTTAGAGGTGCAATCAATTGAGCCACAGCTGATGGAGAACACACAGAGCAAGTGATCCCAGTTTCTCTAATCTTGTCATATCATTTACATATTTGGCTGTGACATATTGAGTAATATGCACCCAAAGAAGGATTTTGCTTTTCACTGAAAATGCCAAATGATAGACATACGTCATTCATCACTTACAAAAGAAAATTTCTGAACTAATATCTTGCACCTTGTAATAGCTTCTAAAAGATATTTTGACCCAAGATATAAATTCACCATAAAAACACAGAAAACTGAATTCATGAGTCCAGGGTTTACCCTCAAATACTAAAAACCATCAGGACAGGTGATCAAAGATCCTCAGATTTATTCCTGTTATACACAATGGAGGGAACCTCAGTGATCAGGGTGAGAATGTTTAGGTAGAACTGCTCCCCTCATGTCAAGATTTAAGCCTTATAGTTCACTGTAGAGAGTTACTAATAGCTCCAAAAACAAATAATTTGTTTGATAAGGTGTGTAGTTGCTGTTGTATTGCAAATTTCACTTTAAATAGTCACTACAGCAAAGATACAAATTAAACAAACACACTAGAGGACAATGCTTGGGGATGACAATATGTAGCTAAATAGCTCCACAATGTTATTCGTCACTGACACAGGATAGGTTAGGAGTCCTAGTCGCAACTGCTTTTGACCGTGAATTTCACATTTATGCGCAGCAATGCACATTTCTACAAATTCTCCACCCTAGGATCACAACTGTCTGAAGGCATAGCCCTCCGGAATGTCATTCTAACCGACCAACACAGAACACCAAATTCACTACTTGGTCATTCTTGGTAAACCACTTAGCCTTTAAATATCTCCAAACTATGTTCACAGCTTTCCTAACATCAGATTTCTTTTAGCCCACTCATATTGTGCCTCCGAGAGCTTCAGCATCCATATGTTAATTATCTTCTGCTTCCAGCTTTTTGAGCCAAATCAAATAGAAAACCTTCATAACTTATCTTTTTCTCCTTGGTACTGCCTCCAAGTCAAGGGCTGCTTAATTGCATGGACAATTACTTTCTATCCAAGTAAATTAAAACTGCATTTAAAAAAATATGTTTAAAAACACTATGCATTCCACAGACATGTTTTGAATACTGCAAATTTCCTTACTGTTCTGCTCCCAGGTTAGTGGTTGTCATAATGTATAACCAATTTCCAAAAGTGTGTGTGAAATGAAGTTGTTCGTGGTAAAAAGTAAATGTACCTTAAGAATGTTTCTGAGGTCAGTCAGGCAAATGCAAGCTAAAGAATGGCTGACCAAAGCCCTTACAATATGCTACATCAGGGCCTCATATGATTCACGATCTTTTGCTCTGCTCATAAATAGATTTTTTTTTTTATTTATCCAAGACTTGAAGTGTTGCTGAATGTCTTTTAGAAGGAAAGAATTACCAAAATTGCTCACTAAGTGAAGATTTGATAAAATATCCACATACTGCAGCTGCCGAGTCTAATTTAGAACTAGTTTATGGAATTGACTGCAGTTCAAGTATAACAGCCAAATCAACAATGATGCAACGACTCCCAATCCTAGAGGTTACACAGGAGAATCCTTCCAGAGTTGGAATTCTCACCAGTGAGTAGAGATCTGAAGAACACTGAACTAACAAATTACTATTAAAAAAAATTTTCAAAATGCTCCAAGTACATCAAAAACTTTGCTTATTTAATTCCTTAGTAACAGTGAACACAATGTTCTACAGAAGAAGTGGAATCTCAGCCGAGAAAGATGTTTAAAAATGGTCATTAATCGTGTTAGCTCAGATACAATTGAAGAGAAACTAATTGTGTCCACTGTTGAATGAACCCGATTAATCTAAACAAAACCTCCCAGGTTATTCCACAGTTGCTGATGCATTTTCCAGCTTTGACATAGCTCACAGTCAGACTCATATATGGGATCTTATATTGGGCTTACTGTTGTTCAAAAATCTCGTGTATTGTTTGCAACTCCTGCATAGATATTTTTGGGTGAAGCAGAAATGAGCAAGTGTTTTATAACAGAAAAGATACAGCAAAAAAAAACCAAATAGCAGAGACAACTGACTGGGCGACATACCTCAATTCAGTCCACAAGCTTGACTAAGATTCTGATGGTCAGTCATATTAATTCCCTGCCTTGATCTCATGCTGATAGTTCTGTCCTCAGCCAAACTTCACTTTGTTCCAGTCAAGTTCAACACAGAAATGAGGAAAAGCACCTCCATTTCTCAATTAGGCACTTGACAGTCTTTCAGAATCAGCATTATGTTCAACAGTTTCAGAGCCTATTCTGTCCATTTTGCTTCTTTTCTGTGGCTTGTTTCAATTTTTCCTCTTATATTTACTTACCTACTCTAGAGAGGCTGAGGTAGGGAGTCGTGATGGAAGAGTACAGGTGCTGAAGGGGGAGGGAAAAAGCCGGGGAGGTGATGGGAAGAACAAGCCTGGGAAGCTTTCCCCTACCCTCCTTCTCCCCTCCCCTGCGCACATGTTTAAGCAGGGCATAGCGCACACATGCACTCTTATCAGCAAGCGTAGCTGTCCTCGAAACCCATTTACATAAAGGTTCACACTGTCTCTCTCTTTACAGATGCTGCCTAACCTGAATTTCTAGTATTTTCTGCACTTTTTTAAAAAGCATGGAGGGGTTTGGATTCAAGTTCATGATATAGAAGAGTATATGGAACCAGCGAACAGGTTCACTTGCACTGAGCGATAACTAGTCTGGACTGTCAACTTCTTTTATTCTGTTTGTGGGGTTTGAACAAATAAAATATTGTCTCATCATGGTCCAGTTTTGGATAATCTCACTCAAACATATTATACACATGAGAAAGGACATCCTAAACATTAACATTAGGGGATCAAAGATAGATTGCAGCTCACTCTTCACAACCTTTTGTTTGTTAAAAAAGTTAACAGTGAAATAAGTCAAATGGAAACGGACTGTGTGGATGTGCAATTCAGAGCTCAGTATTTATCGTATGATAAACTGTTATGGGAGCAGTAGCACTGATCTTTAATCTCCCTCCCATCAACCCAAAATTGGAATACAATTCTCTAACTCTCTAAATGAGGTGATTAAGCACAAGAATGACTGTTGGCAATGCATGCCTCTTCTACTGTTACATGCAACATTAAGCTCAAGATCATTATTTATAATATGCCATCTGCCCCAACCCTTCCTGTTATGTTACCTGTGTATGATAAACTGTAAACTAAACATATTGTAATCCCCTCATACATAAACACCAGTTTTGCCAAACCGTGCCACATTAACACAGTGCAACGATCATTCTTCAGTAGTCACCCTAGAGCATTTAACATGTAAAAATAATCCCTGTGCAATATTGAAATTGTTACTGTTTTCCTCCTGGAAAGTTCAACTATATAGCTACACAATAAACTAACTCACCTTTGCCTTTTCAGTTGACATATTGGCTGTTAATTTCACAGATCACAACAACCTGTACAAACAAAACAAAATACAATATAAAAACACACAAGATATGAGATAGATCAAGGATCTTGGCATTCATAAAATGGATTAAGCACATCTTGAGAATAGAGCACAGAAGCAAACTAGAGTCACAAGGCAATTTCTGACTCAATTACATGTTTAGACACGATGTTATTTCCAATTCAGTACAAACAATAGTACAGTTAAATCACTGACAGCTATAGGTCATTGCACAGAAATGGAACTGACAGCCGTTCTGTTCACCAAACGCACCAGCTGCACCCCCAAAGCAAGACTTCAGACCAGAACTACAATTAGAGTGTAATAAAAGCACATCTCAGCATACTCTAGACTGGGGAAGGAGCATGCAACACATCAACAATGATGAGAGGCTCAAACTGCTCCAAGAACATTAGGCAGGGCTTGACAGCACAAAAGCTCAGAACTTACAGCATAGCTGAGCTGGCAGAGGGAAATATAGAATAACATTTCTCTTTGCAGATTGGAATAAGGGTCAGATGATGCTCTATGACTTGAATATGTAGTCACTGCTGATTGATATCACCGCAAATGTTTTGACACAACATTTGGTACTGGCATGACTAATCTGTTCATCTCCTTGGAATAAAACAACGGTGCTTTTTTTCATTTTTTGCACAGCTAACCACATGCAAGTGAATAATGAGGGAGAATAATATGAACGAGAGAGATTTAATTTCATCTTTTACATTGGTGATTATGGATTATATCTTGTTGCATATCAACAAGCATAGAAGTTATTCTTTATCACAAAGCAAATATAGGGTATTTTGAGAAGCTGATCGCAGCAAAGAACACCTGCTGCATACTCAGACTGTGAAAAGCACAGGAGGCCCTACATTGTATAGGCTTGTGGTTCTGTAAAAAGTGCTTTCCATGCTGGTCCAGCTCCACAACCATCCTGGAATTTCCTCATTCCACAGCATACTAGAAATAAAAAAAAAACTACAACATTTTCATTCCTGACAACTGCTAAGTTGAAGCAAAATCCTACTGGCTGCCTCACATAATCAGCATGGAAGATTAAACTCTACTGTATCTGAGAGTGAAAATAGTGGCAACAGTTCAGTAACTAAGAAAAGCAATTTGGCGCGTAGACACAATTAGAGGTGTCCACAGTAAATTCTCTGTATCCGCGAAATCATGAACTGTGAATTCACCTACCCATGCCAAAAAATAACAAGCTAATATCCGTGGGTAACATCCCATATCCATGATTTTTAACCTATTTTTAAACGAGCTCCACACTCATGAATTTCATCATTTCCAGGGGTTCTCAGGAATGGAACCCTCGCAGATACAGAGGAATGACTGTATATGGAATATATGACCTTCTATATAATATTTCGTGCTTCACGTAAACCTGTTGAGAACAATACATTGTTGAACGTGTGGCTCTGTCAGTAATTACCTAGCATAACCTCCAAACTAGATCATGCTAATTGAGCTCCAAGGCTCAGTGGATTTCACCATCACATAGAGCTCATGTACAGCATAGACGTACTTAAAACAATTGACATTTAGTTATATGGTGCATTTCACAAAATTATTCTGAGGCAGTCCGTGGACAGCACTTTCAAAGCAAAAACTATAAAATTGCCTCATTTTTAAATGTGAAGGGGAGATTTATAATAAGAGAAACATTAGGTGCTTCTTACACAAAGTTGTGCAATAACTAAGTTCAGTCTTCTGGTGAAACTGGCTTAGGAGCCAGGAAAAGTTGGATTGGAGTGCAAATTCAATCCCCATTTTATAGAGTTACACATGCCATGCCTACTTTTATATTTCCTTTACAAATCCCTGCACCCATATTTGTAGCAGAGGCAGACTTTGTAAACTTGTCACATGGTAATACCACCATCCCGGTAGTGCTTGGACCAGCATTTCAACCCTGGGACAAAGCTGGGAGATGTAATTCTGTTGTCTCCCCAATCTGAAAAGCTTTACATTGGTTAATTTATAATTTGGCCACAGGAATTCATTACGAGAAAGTTAACAGGAAGTGCACACGGTAGATATTTGTAATTTTAAAAAATAGATTATTTCAGCTAATTTTCTTTCCTTTTGTTGTCTATTAGTTTTTCTTGTACCTCTGATACTTTGTTGTTCACTGCAAAGACTGAAGCAAAATTTCCCAGTTGGTTGACAAATATTCTGCAGTAGTTAACAGACTTCAGGCAGCTTCTAGATCTGATTCCCAGTCGTTACTGAGTCAAGTGATGGAAGTCAGGTTACTCAGTTGGCCTTAGCAACCTTGAAGTGGAAAAAAAGGGGAAAAAGAAATATAGTTTGTTACTACTACTCAATGCAGGCACACTGTATTACGGGTCCTACCATATAAGCAAATCTAAAGGTAGAAATTCATTTTTAATAGTAGCATTAAATACAAGTTAACATATGGACCAACAGTTGTACTTCCCACCCAATATTTTGTTCCACTTGACTGAATATCACTCAAGGTGAATAACTGGAGACTCAATCAATAAAGGAAGTCAAATATTGTCTTAGATAAATAAGAAAATTCTGTCCAACTTGAAATACCCACAATTGCATTCAGTCTTTCTGCTTAAATCAACACATACAATATATCCAGAGCATTTTCCTTCTATACTGAGGTCAGAATACACATTCAAATGTATTTGACTGTTTATGCCAAAGCAGTCCTGAAAAACACAACTATTTTCCCAGGACTAATGGCTGTTATTCATTTTAATGCAGGAATGCAAGAACCTGTGTTGTGCTACAATGTCACCCAGAGAAACAACACAATGGAGACCTGGAAGTCAGCCCACTGGGATTCAAGTAGCTCAGCGACACAGTTATACATTTAAAGACGCATTTAACATCTACGTGCAAAAGAGCAGTCATTAAATCATGTAACAACCCCATATCCTAGCACTTTTAAATATCAAATGCTTATACAATTCATGAGTCACAGGCATGGTGCCACCATGAGCTGAACTGGTGCCAAAGAGAACAGTCCACCCAACATTAAAAGTCTTCAGAACCAGCACATCACTGCGGTGTACAGATACATCACTGGTTTGTCACATCACTAAATAGCTTCATGCAATTTATTGGCTTCCAGCTTCCAAGGTCACCAACACTGTTAGCTCAGAAAGAAACTCAAATTGAAGTTATAACCATTGAGATTACAGTATTGAGTCAAGCTTTGCAGTCCACTATAGATATACCACTGCTTGCTCTTTAATTGAAATTAACTGATTTAATGCCATTTTCCTGCTCTTCCTTTGACTTCTTCAAAGCTCTGCCTTTTCAAAAACTTAACTAATTCCTTTTTAAACAATATTATTAGTCTCAGCTCAGCTCAGCGCTGCTTGTGGTAAAGCATTTATGGTCTAATGAGCATCTGTCACAGCACTCCTTCCAATGTTCAACTCTTTTGTTCCATAGGCAACCCTGGATTTTACCCAGATTTTGATTTGCCAACCTGTGGAAACAAGCTTGCATTATTCACGTTCTTAAAAATGCTCAAATTTGAAAAATCCTGATTACAATTTAACATTCTCTGTTCTTGCCTATTGTCTTTCTCCAGTATCATTAACAATGTACCATTATTTGAAGGATATTAGAATGCCTTAATGGGTTGCCTAGGACAACATGCAGTAAAAAAAAATTTGCATTTACATAATAACTCTCAATATCTCAGAATGTCCCAAAGTGCTTCACAGTCAATGAAGTATTTGTGAATTACTATCATTATTGTAACAGAGGGAAACACAGCCTCCAATGCGTGCACAGTTATGTAGACAATTTGTTCTCGTGACGTTGTTTGAGGGATAAACATCAGTCAAAACAATGAAAAGGCCTTCAGTTTAAAATCTTACCCAAAAGACAGCATGTACCTCATGACTGCATGAAGGCATCGGCCTCGGAGTCAATGCACTGTTCTTTAAACAAAAACACCAAGAGAAATGATCCCAGTACAAAGTCCATGCTTGGAAAATTACACCAATTAAGTTAGACGTGACCTATTTGTAACAAATCCTTGCTCTTGATCAGTGGTTAGGCCACACCATTAACAATTCACTAATTTCAGTCTATTATACAGACTCTAGAAGAACCCAATACATGGGTAAGACTAATTTGCATGCCATTTCAGTCTTGCCGTTTACCCCTTCGTCAAATAGCAATGTAAGGTTTGTTTTTGCCACTGTCCAATAGAATTGCTGGTTTCAAAAAGTGTTTTTTTTTTGAGAATTGTGGTTAATATCTAGTATATTAATAACAATGGTTATCATTGTTTGTCCTTCCCCTTGACAGATTGAATAATAAACAAAATCTGTTTACCTACTGCCTACCAAATGCTCTTCCAAAATGAAGCCAATGAAACAACTGTGGTTATTAAAATTCAATAAAAGCAATTTTGAAACATCAAAACATCAAAACATCAAGCATACTGCAGAATGGAGTGAGATCCCACGTTTATATGCTCAGTTCCCTAAAGGGGTGCTGATCACAAATGTATCATCGGATAAAAGGAGCAATGGGGACAAAAAAAAAGTGAAATTAGACGCAACTACTGTTGGTTTGTATTCACAAAAGTAATCTAAGAAACCGGGTTTTGCATCAAGATACACAATATCTTCAAAAAATTATGGGAATAGAAACAGTTATATTTCCAAATAAAATTTTATATAATTAAAATTCAAACATTTCAAGAAGATAGTTTTGATGTTGCATTTCAATCTCCTTCCCACCTCTGTACATCTTTTTAATTTTGTTTGAAATCCAGCAACTGCAGATTATAGATTGAGAGATAGCTTTTGGGAACTCAAGTAACTTGGGATACCATTTACTTTATTAATGTTACCTCAAAGAATGTTGGCGTCATTGACTAGGTCATCTTCCATGCTTACCCTTCAGAAGACGATATTGAGGATCCATCTTCAGGCCATTCAGCCACGTTCTGCCAATCCAGATTATGACTGATCTTACTCCTTTTTTTTTAATCCACTCGTGGGACATTGCTGGCTGGCCAATGCCCATATTTATTGTCCATCCCTAATTGTGCTTGAGGTGATGGTGGTGAGCTACCTCCTTGAACTGCTGCAGTCGATGAATTGTAGGTAAATCCACAATTCCAGGATTTTCACCCAAGGATAGTGAAGGAATAGTGATAAATTCTGAGTCAGGATGGTGAATGGCTTAGAGGGGAACCCGCAGGAGAATCTGCTGCCCTTGTCCTTCTAGACGGAAGTGATCATGGGTTTGAAAGGTGCTGTCTAAGAATCTTGTGAATTTCTGCAGCACATCTTGTACACTACTGCTATTGAACACTAATGGTAGAGGGGGTAGATGTTTGCGCATGTGCTGCCAAACAAGCTTTGATGGTGTCAAGCTTCTTGAGTATTGTTGGAGCTGCATCTATCCAGGCAAGTGGAGAGTATTCCATCACACTCCTGACTTGCGCCTTGTAGATGGTAGACAGGCTTTGCGAATTGGTGAGTTAACTGAAGCAGTATTCCTAGCCTCTGACCCATTCTTGCAGCCACTGTATGCATACAGCAAGTCCAGTTGATTTCCTTGTCAGTGGCAACACTGTGGGTGGGCCCCCTACAATTTGACTCAATGTGATTTTATTGTACTTTATTGTATAATAGTGAGATTTGGGCAGGAGGAATTGATGTGCAGAACATGTCTTAAATGATGAGGGGATTGGCAAACTTTGATATCCAATGTGACCTGCGTGTCCTCATGATAGATCAGTGGGAGCTAATCTACATGTGCATCAGGCAATTAGGAAGGCAGGTGGCATGATGGCCTCTATTGCTACAGGACTTGAGTTGGCGATGTCTTGCTTCACTCGAATAGAGCGCTGGTGAAATACATCTGGAATGTTGAGGATGATTCAGTCTCTTTACTCAAGGAAGGATATATCTTCTGTAGACGGGGTGGTAACACCATTGCGATGGTAACACCATTGAATATCATGGGGAAGTGGTCGGGTTGTCTCTGATTGGAGATTCTCATTGCCTGGCATTTGTGTGGCGCAAACATTACTTGTTACTTTTCCGTTCAAACCAGCTGTTGTCCAATCTTTTTGCATTTGAAAATGGATTGCTTCAGCATCGGAGGAGTCGCGAATGGTGCTGAACACTGTGCAATCATCAAACATCCGCATTTCTGACTTTATGATGGAGGGAAGGTCATTGATGGTTGGGCCAAGAACTGTACCCTGAGGAACTCCTGCAGAGATGTCCTGGAGCTGAAATGACTGACTTCCAACAACACACCCATCTTCCTATGTGTCAGTATGATCCTAACCAGGAGAAAGTTTCCCCCAATTCCCACTGATTCCAGTTTTGCTGGAGCTCCTCGATACCGCACTTAATCAAATACAACCTTGATGTCAAGGGCTGTCACTCTCATCTCACCGCTGGAATTCAGTTGTTTTGTCCGTGTTTGAACCAAGACTATACTCAGGTCAGGAGCCAAGTAGCCCTGAGGGAACCCAAACTGAACATCGCTGAGCAGGTTATTGTTAAGCAGATGCTGCTTGGTAGCACTGCCGATAACATCTACTATCACTTGCCTGATGATTTGAGAGTAGACTGATGAGGCAGTTTGATTTGTCCTCCTTTTTGCGTACAGGACACAGCTGGACAATTTTTCACATAGTCAAGTAGATGCCGGTATTGTCTATTTCCATATCCCTTGATAGCATTAGTATCTAGAAATCTATTGATCTCTGTCCTAATGTACCCAATGACTCAGATTTCGTAGCCGTTTGCTTAGAGAATTCCAAAAGATTCTACCCTCTCAGCCAAGAAATTCTTTCTTAACTCAATCAAAAATAGCTTGCCCTTTATTCTGAGACATTGATCCCTGGTTCTAGAACCCTATAGTTATGCAAACATCCTTTCTGGAGCCATCCTATGCAGTCCTTTAAGAATTTTGCAAGTTTCAATTAGATTACTTCTCATTCTTCTGAATTTCAGAGAATGGAGGTCCAATGTCATCAATATCTCTTTCCAGGACAGTCCCACAATCCCAGGAATTAGCCTGGTGAACTTCCATTGCACCCCGTCTACAGAAGATATATCCTTCCTTGAGTAAAGAGACTGAATCATCCTCAACATTCCAGATGTATTTCACCAGCGCTCTATTCGAGTGAAGCAAGACATCGCCAACTCAAGTCCTGTAGCAATAGAGGCCATCATGCCACCTGCCTTCCTAATTGCCTGATGCACATGTAGATTAGCTCCCACTGATCTATTATGAGGACACGCAGGTCACATTGGATATCAAAGTTTGCCAATCCCCTCATCATTTAAGACATGTTCTGCACATCAATTCCTCCTGCCCAAATCTCACTATTATACAATAAAGTACAATAAAATCACATTGAGTCAAATTGTAGGGGGCCCACCCACAAATGTGCGTTAAGCAAAGCTTTGGGAAAGCCAACATTCCTATGGAACTTGATTTGACCTACAAACACCCTATGTCAAATATCAGGAAAACGTAGTGATACAATAAATAGGCTAGGATTTAAACTTTTCTGAGATGAATACTAATTTATCATAGTCAATGAGACAAAAATTACACAGAATCAGTTCCACATCTCAGATGTACAGAAAATTAAACTTTTGAACTGGGTTATTTGCCTCTTTTCCAAAAACTAAACTTTAAGCCTCTCATATTTCTGAATCACCTGCCTTGTGATCTTTTAAGTGACGGGCTCCAGCAAATTCCAGCCTCACTCAGCACGTTGTCAATTCTACAAATTCAGCCTGACCTGATCTGTGCCAACATGACTCGGTCAGTACAAAAGATATAGGGATAACCATAAAATACTGTGCAAGATGACTGACCAATCATTTCACTATCTATTGAAGTCATCTGGATTCACTAAACCCCATAATGCTATGTCAGCTAAAGGCCCAGCAGATAAATGAACCAGTAAGACATCTTCCTTACAAACCAGATAGCTACAAGTTTGTTGGCAAGTCTCTGCTAAAATAGTTGATCTCAGCCTGGAAAGCAGTTGGATGCAAATACTGGCCTAGTACCCCTGGGCACAAAAACGGAATGATGTGGCAAGGAATCTAATCACAATCAGGATCTGGTGATCCCACCCGGGAAGTGCAAGGTTAAGAGTTAAATTGTGATGTCTGTCAGTGATGGAGTAGCACGCTGACACTCCCTGTCAAGGCAGATCAAGAAAGAATAGCTGCTCATGCAAGGTATTGGACAGCTGTTCACAGAACTGTACGCTAGCGAAAGTCACAATCTTCAGAACAGAATATTTAGAGCAATAGATAATAGATTGCAGATAGCTGCTATGATTCAAAGAATTATATCCAATTCAAAAAGAATAAAATAAGTCAATAACTACACTATGCATTCCTGTTCAGCTTAACCTTCATGACTTGTTGCTTTGAAAGTATCTTGTTTACATAAAACCATATAAGCATTAAGGAAAACAATGTCTTTCCCATAGAAAAATGCAGATATGTTTATTTTCTACATATTACATGAGACAGCCTTATTTATTGTTTTTTTTCTGACCAGTGTTTTCCATATTGTATCTAATGCATTCGTTACAGAAAGACACAGAACCAAACTTATAGCCTACTACCAGCCTTAGCACAATATAGTCCATCAATATAGTCCACAATATAATCTGTGTATAGCCTGCTCCTGAGATTTTCTGAAAGTGTTTCTGAAGTTTATTCAAAGTTCACTCTACAGTAAGAAAACAAAGAGAAGAAAATCAAAATCAAAGCCAAGTGCTCAACTCATTTTGATCTTAACATTCCTTGTCCTGTGACAAAGGTGCAAATTACTGACAAAATATCTTGATCGTTACCTAAAACTGGGCTACTGAAAACATGGCTCCAGATTAAAATTTGACTGTTTCCTCTCAACTTTTCTGCATTGCATCTGCTACTGAAAAGTCATCTGTAGCCAGGCTTACTTTGCTATTGCTATAGTTATATCTACTCAGTTTTCCAAAATATATACGTACCGTTTTCTCCACAGTTCGTGATAGCTGCACTTATGAACAAGTCTCATTCAGGCACTACCCTTCATTTCACATACAAAGGCTCATTATAAAAGAGAGTTGAACATCAAGCAGGAATAAAATCAGAACTTACGGGAAGTGGATAATGGCATATTCAGAGTTTGAATTTTCAGAAGGCTTTCAAAGACTGATAGAGACAATTACGAGATCAACATTGTTAAGAGGAAGGTCCACATACTGGGATGGGTTAGTTAAAACCTCTACCATTGTTCAGAGTGGATAAATGCACAACTGATTAGAGTAAATGATTTGAGAAAGCAGGCAGAGCAAATCTCCAAAGATATTTAAAAATGAATGTGAACATCTTGAAACCAAATGCTGGGCTCAGGAAACCAGTGGAGTGCACACAGGAATGCGTATGCAGATCAGTGCACAAACAGCAGAATTCCAAATGGATTCAACCTCACATATGAAGAAGCTCAGAAAACAATTGAAGGCTTTCAATGGAGAAACTGTTCTTATATGTGACAAAAGATCACTCTTGACTGAGTAAGCATTATAGGCTGTTCATTGTCTGGAAATGAAAGTTAGCAATCTATCTCTAGTTCCTGCATTTTAAAGTTCCTGAACTGCTATGAAATGCATGGGACATCTGGAAGATGTAAATAGTGCTCTACAAATGGAGGTCTCTCTTTCATATGAACCAGAGTTGGCATTAGTCTGAGCAAACAGGTGAGAAGACCATAAGAATTAGCACCAAAGACGCACATTGAAGGGTACAAAAGAGGTTTATTTTAGTCTTGCTGACGTTGAGTTCCAGAATTTGATGTCCACTAGCATTTGGGCACAGTCACAGGTACAGTTGAGCTGAATTGGATATCATCCTCACGTAATACAAACCACCACCACAAAGAGGTAACAGAGATGACTACAATGTCATACAAGCTGATGGAGGGGTAATGCTGATTGTTTCGGAAAGACAGGAGTGGAACGAGGGAAGATAGTGATGTACAGATGAAACACAGAAGAGAGGTGATGAAGGATGAAGTTAGTAGGAACTTCCTTGTTTCACTCTATTCTGTAGTTTCTCTTTCCCGTTCCTCACCTTAAGCCATTCTTTCTTTCTGACGTTAGCTCTTTCCTTCCCCCTCTTCCTGTACTCCCCCACCCATCCCTCCGCACTCCAATCCCTCCCACATTCCTCTCTCAGGCGGGTAGGTTCTTTATCCTATGGCTCCCTGTGTAGTGTTCAGCCGTTCATGTCATAGCCTCAAGATAACTCCACGCCTTCGCAACCGACGACGCTACAAAGTACATACCCAACAGTTAAGTCAGTCCCTTCAGCTCTATGTAACTCGTTTCGCTGAGGCCACACAATAAACTCACTCGGAGAAAGGAGCCGAATTATCGGACACTCAGCTGATATCCCGTCAGTCTCTGCGCCGGCGCTCCTCCACAATCCCGATACTCCCCACGCCATCATTCATCCAGTGTCCCGAAAGCCCTCACGGCAGTAGCTATTGGTTGTATGGTGACATATTCTATTTTGGATTGCTCACCCTTTTAGATCTGTGTCTGAGGTGAATCACTTCCCCCTCTGTCTTCTTAAATCAGAAAGTATTTCCAATTACAGGAGAGAGGCGTACCATACTCGAAAAACCAAGCCCATTACTCTGGAACAATACAATAATCACCAGGATATTACTTCAAATAACTCAATTTGAAATTCATAGTGTCATTCAAAAGTGCGTTATATTTATTTATTTGCATGCTCTTATGGTTATGGTATACAAAAATGGATGTTTAACAGGTTGAGTGTATGGGAGGCAGGTGGTAAAATGCTGAAATCCTTTGCACTATGACCAGATGCATTGCTGGACAACTGGCTTAGCCATTCATCACCGCATAAGGCTGGAATACATAATATACTATGTAGACCTACACTTGTTTGCCAAGGAAGCACACTTTTCCTGGATTATCTTGGATAGCAAAGGTAATCCTGTCTTATTTTCTCTTTGGGAACGAAATTCAAACATTCCATGTTCTTGAACCTTGTCTCCATCTATAAGTGAGAGGAGCTCATGGATATTTTTATCACTATGTTTGGGACTGCCAACTGGCTGATGCTGGCAGTGTCCTCTCTTTTCAACCTCACCAGGTCAAACTTCCCTGAAAATCGTTCAATACCCTGGTCCTTAAATTGCATCGTTCTTGAGTCTCTCTCCTGTCTCCCGTAACACTTTCTCCAAACTCACCTTATCTGTGGAACCCTACTCCTACCACTTGCCTTCATCCATTTAAATTACTGACAACCAACTCCCTTTTCTGACTCTCACGCTGGCAGATATGGTTGATTGACCTTCCTCAGGTACTTTACTCTTCTTTCAAATTTTCTGCCATCACTGCTTTCCTTAACAAAAAATCTCTATCTTTGCGACATGTAGCACCACCCTTCAAACTTTCTTTCCACTCCAGGGTTTTTGAATGTTTTATCACCTCTTAACTCCATGCTGCTTTTACCTGGAACGCTACCTCTGAATTCATCCAATCAGATTTCTGACCTGCCACTAGTGAAATGACTTTTCAAAGTCACAAAATATATTCTAAATGATGACAAAAGCAAACTTTCCATTCTTGATCTGTCAGCAGCCTTTGACCATGGTCACTACAACATCCTCCCCAAACACCTCTACACATCGATTGTTGACTTGCTGACTGAGCCGTTTGTTCAGACGTTTCGTCACCATGCTAGGTGACATCATCAGTGGAGCCTCCGATGAAGCGATGTTATTCTACTCAGCTTGGAATTTATATTGTGTATACGAACATCAGCTAGGAGCAAAACAGCATGATGAACTCTCCTTAATATTAGTACGCTCAGACAATGAAGGCCATCAGTTTAACTGGGACAAAATAACCATAATATCCCAAGCCAAACATAGATATGTACAGGAATTCCTAGAGGCATGGTTCGCCACTCATATTTCAATTAACAAACATACAGAATTGGACCCCATATATAAACCTATACAGATGAAAACCAGAAATGACGGTACTCACCATAACAGACCGGAGTGTATAAATTTCCAGCGGAGTAGACTAACATTGCTTCATCAGAGGCTCTACTGATAATGTCACCTAGCATGGTGATGAAACGTTTGAACAAAAACAAGCCAGCTCGGCGAGCAAGTCAACAACTTCATCCACAACCCGAGCTATAGATCTCTGCCAGTACTTTAAACCTCTATACATCATCATGCAGCTTCGTGCAACTATAACAATCGATTCCATTCTTATCTAATCGTAGAGATTCACTGCTTCTCTTGCACCATTACCTTTTGGTATCCTCTAAGGATCCATGCTTGGCTCCCTCTTATTTCTTATCTTGAAACATCAGCATCAGTTTCCGTACAGACACTGAGCAGCCAACTCTGTCTTGCCATCTCTTCTTTGGACTCTTCCATGCTCTCTAAGTTGTCAGCCTTCTGCACAGGATAAGCAGAACTTTTTTCACAGGTAAATGTTGGGAAGACTTCAGCACATGCCATAGACTCTATTCTGTAGTCACTTGAGTCCATCTCTCTTTCTGGCTTATGTTTGAAGGTGAATCAGACTGCTTGCAGCCTTGGTGTCATATTTGACCTAAAAATTAGCTTCTGGCCTCATGCCATGTGTCATTTTTTTCCATCTTAATAATATTGCATGGTGCTGCATATTACTGAAACCATATTCCATACTTTTGTTGCCTCTGGACTTGACAATTCCAATAGAATCATGGCCAGCCAACTGCATTCTAATTTCTGGAAGCTGCGGTCAACCAATAGTTAAGGAAAGGGCAAAGGTGATTATTTGCATTATTTCATTTTTCTTCTGATATGTCTGTAAGTTGAATTTTTTTTTAAAAATCATTCAGTTCCCTTTGAAATAGGGTGTTCTTTGTTTCTCCGAAACCCTCTGATTGTGAAGTTCAATTTTTTAAATGACGTGCAACAAACTCTTATTAAGATTTACAACAGAAGTATCATTTATTCATGCATTCAAAATTGGTGGATGATTGTCACAACATATAAACGCAGACAAGTAAGAAATAAAAAGGAAAGGGAAAGATTACAATTAAGAATAACATAAATCAAATATATGTATGTTAGTTCATGTGACTTTTTATGATTTGAGAAAGTGATTGCCCAGTGAAGGTTATTTTCTGTAGGTGTTTGTATTCAAGTCGGTGCAGTTGGCTGAAGTTTCAAAATTCCTTTTGAATTTGACAAAGAAACAGCAAGATCATGGTTTACAGACTTAATCCACTGTTCCTGCAATTACTGGAATCTTCCAGAGAACTAGACTGAGCAGGTATTGAACTTGAGGCAGATGTGGCTCAGCTTGGAATCTGATTTTCTGTATAGGGCTTTGCAAGCAGACTCAATGTTAGCAGCAAACTCAAAACCATTGGTTTCTACCGCTTTGATCATGTATCTAGTATTCATCTTAAGTGATAAGTGAATCATTAGCACCTCCACGACTATGCTAAAGTAAAGATTCTATTCCCCCAGTCTAAACACACTGTTTGTTGCCTGAGATAAATGGTGAGCCGTTAGCTCCGCTTCAGGTATGATGAGTTTTAATAATTTTCATTTGTTTTCAGTCCCTGAAGGGGAGATATAAGTCCATTGCTCTTTAGTGTTGGTTTGACTGCAATATCCATTCATTGGAACGTTTGTGAGATTTCAGGAGGATAGTGGTTTTAGCTTTTTCCTGGTAACTCTGTTTGGAATTTTCCTGAAATTGTCATCAGTTTGCATCATGTGATTGGCAGTGATCATGTTCTAGCCCAGTAAAGTCCATTTTAAAACTTAAGCAAGAAAGTATAGCTTATAAAACAATTCATTATCATTTCTCGTGACTTGTTGAGATGGCACAAGATTTTGCTGCTTATGTCCTAATTTGCATCAAGTCCTGTTCACTCATCAGTCCTGTACTTTTTCCTACATTGGCAATACCTTGATTTTAAAACTCTTATTCTGGTTTTCAAGCCCTTATTCATTGCAATCGTTATAATCCCTCCGGCCCAATATTGAACATCCCTAATTTTCATCAGTTCACCATTGTTGGCTGTGCTTCGGCTGCCAAAGCCTTAAACTGTAGGAATTCTTCCGGAAACCTCACTATCTCTCTACCTGTCTTTCCCTGTGCATGACATTCCTTAATACCTACCTCTTTGACCAAGCTTTTGTCATCTGCCTTAATTTCTCTTAATGTGGCTCAATGACAAAGTTTGATTTGTAATTTCCCTGTAAAATTTTTGAGAATGTTTTATGTCATATGTGCTATATAAATAGGATTCTCAAACGTTTTCATCTGTGCATCACTTAAGCAGGACAATAGGTGCAAGGAAAGAATTATTGGTACTAGCACATGCACTTTGGCTTGCCTCCACAAAATGTTCATCAGAATGAATGGAAAGAGTCCCACGACTTTAATCAGACCCTATTGAGCTGATGCCTAGTTCTGAGCTGGAAAGCTTCAATGTTATGTTGTTTGCCACGTTCACCTGGTTCCTGTTCTTTGTTTCCAGCCTGTAGAGTCATAGAGGTCTACAGAACAGAAAGAGGCCATTTGGGCCATCACGTCTGTGCCAGACAAAAATATCCTATTCCTATTCGCCGGCACTTGGCCCATAGCCCTCTGTGCCTATCACAAGTGAACATCTAAATACTTCTTAAACGTTATGAGGTTTTCTGCCTCTTCCTCTCTTACAGGCAGTGAGTTCCAGATTCCCATTATCCTCTGAGTGCAATATAACTGCCTCACAAGCAAATTTACAGTTGCGTGTTGTAACGGTAACGTTTGTCATGCATATAAAACTATGTTGTTGCTTGCACTTATGACAACTTGTGCTGCACACATAGGAACCAGTCTAGTTCTGTGATATCTGTGAGTGATTTGTGATGAGGGTTCTAGCTGATCACTTCTATGGCCTCAGCTGTGCCGTTGCATATCAGTTGCTTGCATTTTGGTCCAGCTTGCGGACCAGTTTTTAAGTACAGTTGTGTTAGAGACATATGGATCATCATGCTATTTGAACTGCATTATTTAATTTTGACCACTAATGTTTTGCCTATGGTAGCAGATCTCATATGGTGTCAAGACAAATTAAACAAGGCCAATTGATCAGTGAGCATCTCTGCTCCAATTTTGAAGTTATACATCTGTCCTTTTCTTTATACTACTTTGATTTCTTTTAAGACTTCTTAGATAAACAAAGTATCACTAAACAGCAAAGCTTTATCAGGAATTTGCGAAGTACATGAATGAGTCATTGCAGTATCCCTACAAGGGAGGCTAAGGATCTGTGGCATTCAATACTGAGGATCACTGCAGCACCACAAGTTAGACATTACAGTGTGACTAAATTGCACAGGAAACATGATTATTAACGTCGGCATAAGAAAAATTGAAACAAAATTGTATCAAAAACATAATTACAGC